TTGATATGATATATAAAATTATATTATTTTAGGGTAGGAGGTTAGGGTGTTTGCATGTTATGATTTGCAATCCCTTATATATATTTGATATATTATGCAATTTACGTTATGATTTTTCTAGTTTTTAATTCCTTATTGTATTGTACATGATATATTTTACAATCCATATTTTTTAGGATTGAAAAATGTCTACGGAAAAAATTATTGATTCATTTTTTAATAGATTGTTGAAAAGTTTACCAAAAACATGATAATTGATTGTTTCTATACTATAAAAATTAACAAGCAAAACTTAAAAAATAAATGTACATATTTATTTTGGTTCTACATTTATAAAATTGAATATGAACATATATCACAAAAAATTTATGTTATGTTAATTATATAGATAGATTTATCTTTTCTTCAATTACAACATATTATATATGCTTTGTGATTTTGTCCCCCTAATTAAAAATCCTAACTCCGCTCTTGTATAACGCACCATCAATATAACAACAACAATAATATACTTTTTCTATCCTAAATTATAAAACACTCTTAAAAATTATTTAACATATTAAAATATAAGATACTTTGATAAAAATAAGATTTTATTGATGATAGTTTTTTAATATTACTCCTCCCATATATTCTCTCTCTTTAAATTCTTTATCAATAGAGTATTAAGTAAAGGGTATTTTTAAAAGTTTATATTTTTGTCTTGAAAAAAATAAAGTTGCAAAATATATTTAATAAATTTTATTGATATGTAAAATTTTATTTAAAAGTGTTTTATAATTTGAGGAAAAGAAGCAACATAAAAAAAAAATATTTTCTTCTATACATTGCCTGTCTCTCGACATGCCTGCGTCTATAATCCTTTTTGTCTTTTCCATGTTTGGCCTAGCAGATGGGCTGGTTACCATCTCCCATATTCATTTTCTCTTCCTTTTTTTTGGTTCTTCTTCTTCCATACTAATTTTTCCTTTTTTTTTTCACAGTTTTTGCACATGATCATTATCAAATGTGAAATAAATTTAAGTATTCCAATTAATATAATAAAACTGACATGTGGATCCTAAAATTCAAATTGAGACTGTCCATTATAAAATATAGTAAATATTTTTTTTTTTAGGAAAACATAATTTCTTTCATTTCTAAGCACATTTTGAAGCAAAATTTTCATCGTTTAAGATCAATGAAGCACTTAAGACTGATTTTCGAATTTCCATTATTGATGGAACCAAAAAAAAATGTAGACTTGGAAAGTTATTCAATTTTACAAGTTTCAATGCCATAAACTGATGCTTCTTTGATTTTAAATAGAAGAAGCATTTTGAAAAATTTCATATTTCAGTATATAATGCATTTCACAATTTTTTAATAAGCAAACAATATGCTTTTTTGAGGAGAATCGAGCACTCTATATTGATAAGTGAGATAATTTTCTCCTAAACTATTTATATATGAGTTGTAATTTTTTATATACCGATCATGTTTTTAATATTAATTATGTTACTTAAATTTTTAGGTCATTCTTTGTAATTTTTTTAGTCAATTAATAATCTTCCTTTAAACTATTGTATTACTCAAATTTAATACTCTCTATACACTACATTGTTTGTGGTAAAATAAAAAACATAACAGATTATGACCAATATGCCAACAGAAATGCTTATTTTGGAAGATATTGCATGTTCAATTAATGTGCTACAAAAAAGTTTCTCCCTCTATTAAAAAATATAAGGTATTTTTAGTATTTTAAGATATAATTAAAGTGCTTTTTTTAAAAATGTCCCTAATAAATATATCACTTTATATTTATTTTAAAGTTAAACAACCTATTAAATATGGATGAATATAAAAAGATAATATTAATTTAAAAATAAATAATTATTTTATTGGGGGTGTAATTAGATTAAAAGTGCCTTATATTTTTCAATAAAGGAAGTACTTAACAAGAGAATAATAGAGATGAAGGGGAAAAAAAATCTCTCTGTTAATGTGAAGATTCATTTCCTTCATTTTTAATACAAAGTTACAAAATATCAAAATATTAAAATATGAAATTGGTTGTTGCAATATTATGGAGAAAAACTGTTAGTTGATAAAAAAAATTATAGAAAATAACCTATAAAATTTAATAAACTCAATCAACATTAAAAATTTGATCAATATATAAAAGTTACAAGTCATTTATAAATTTATGAAAAAATAGTTTGAACTGGCAACATTTAAAAAATAATATATAAATTTTGAATGCATATTTATAAATAATAATATTTAAATTATTAAATAAAAAAATATTTAATATTTTTATAATATTTATTAAATTTTATTTTAATAAGATTTCAATATGCTCAACGCTTCTGAAAAAAAATTTCAAAGTGCTTAGCATTCCTAGAAAAATAATTTAAAGATAAATTAATACCAAAAGACATGATCAAAGTATTATCTATCATTGTGTGTGGGCTCCACATACATGCTCTGTATTAACAAATAATGGCAAAGATAATGACTAACTCAGAAGAGGTTTTTTGCTCCTAAAAAAATGGTTCAGTAAAAAATTCTCACACTTATCAATACAGATGCCCAATGCTCTTAAAAAAAATTCAAAGATAAAAATATTAACCCCCCTTTTTTTTTACTAAAACTAACCTATGAAAATATTAAAAATTATTTTAGGCAAGTTTTTTTTTCCTTGCCAACAACAATGATTAATGATGGGGAGAACCACACTTAGATTCCAAATTATGAATTTAATAATAGTTATGTTCCTAACAAAATTTTTCAAAAAGTGATTTATAAATATTGATTTAAATAGTTGCAAATAAAAATTTCAATTATATATTGAGAGTTATATTTGAAATATAAATATTTAATTTGTAATTGAAACTCCTAAATGGGTAACAATTCAATTTTTTATTATCAATTAATTTTGCAAAAAAAAAAAATTCAAGAAACTAACTATAATTAAATTGATATTTTGATATCTAACTGTCATCTTCTCTAATGATAAGTATTAAATGAAAATAATTTGATGAGTATTAGTCTTTGTTAGTGTATTTTAGTTAAAAACATTACTATAATTGAAATGAAAGGAGCATAACTAACTTTTTTTTTAAATAAAACGATCAATATATTAATAATTAAAAAAAGAGTCCTGCAGTAATAAAATAGGTCTTGAAAAAAAAAATACTAGAATGAAGACACCTGAACTTTGCAATGCGAAAAGAACATGAGTCAAATTAAGCAAAAAGTGGAGTAGAGTTATTTTCCTCTGGAGATGATTTTTGTTCATTGATTTTATTGCTTTCCTGAATAAGAAGGCCAAATACAAACATAAGATAGATAATGAACAAAGCTTGCAAAGTTCTTGAGTACCTTTTGAGGATGAGGAATAATTCTCTTTTGAAGAGCATCATTCCTTTTCTGCCACATGAAGTGCAGTAAGATTATTATTTGTTTAGCAGTATCTAACCGCTTCTCCTGGTCTTTAAGGAATGGATAGATAAAGTTCTAAACCATAAACACCGAGCAAGAGAACAGGAATAAAAGATGTGTTCCACATATTCATCCTTTAAGCATCCAAAGAAAAAATGAGATAACATTGGGATGGTGACATTGCAGGAAATTGCCAATAGGTAAAGTAGAATAAATTAATTTCCATATAAAGAGTAGATGCTTCAAGGGTAGTTGAAGTTTCCAGAAAAAGTCCAATTAGCAACTGCAGCAGAACACCTGCAGAACTCAAATTTAGGTTTAACCATGTAGGAATCATCAGAACTTGCAAACCATACTAGGCGATCTGGTTTACTGTTTAAGAAGATCAGAAACCCTGGAAATTCCTAACGAATTGGTAGTATCCCTTTGAATCATGCTCCACCATTGACAATGATCAATTGGAATATTTTGAACAGATTCTACTTGCCACTACAATTCCTTAAAGGTGATGTCTTCTGCTTGTAAAACTCCTTTCCAAAACCAAGAGGAGTTATAGGAATTTTTATTTCTGCAGCCACTAGAAGCCTCAACATACTTGAGTTTCATGGCATTGCCAAACAAGGAGAACAACACTGCATTAATTACCCTCCAAATCTGCTTACCAAGAATATTTTATTTTTTTCAAACTAATTTATTATTCTATTCCCTCCACAAAAGGGGAGAGGATTCTCTCCTCTCTCCCTTCTCTTATTTTTCTAACCACAAGGTTAGCATTATTAACTGTTCATATTTGATCTCTTATAAAATATTTTCTTTTATTCTGTTTTTACTGCAATTTTAAATTGTTCAAATTAAATTTTAGCCGTTTGAATTTGATTATTTATCTTTGTTTACAATTTAACATTGTAATTATAATTTTATAAGAAATTCAATTTGGACAGTCCATAACCCAATCCAATAGCTAGAAAAACAAAATGAGGGAAAGATGATGGGAAAGGAAGAAGAAAGAATCCTCTTCCTCACAAAATGTCTAAGAAAACAACCTTAAATGCACTTAATTAATAGTAATACGGTCTTCCACTAGTATGTAATACTGGAAAGACATTTACTGTTCAGGGGAAAATTGTTCATGAGGACACAAGACAATAGGGTTAACATAGATTTTCTTTCTGTTTAACTGCATTCACAGTACCTAATAATTGGACAAGTTTCAATCTGAAGAATGAACCATATTGTCAAAGCTTGTCAATAATAGGTACAGCTCACCACCATAGATTATATGTAACATATTAATATTGCTAATTGCTTTTATGAAAAACTAAACATCCACAAGCATCTTTTTACGCATTTGTATTGGACATGGTAACTTATGTAATATCTCATATTGTGCATCCATGAATAAATCTAGTTTACATCTTCATAGATTTATATTTTATACTACATGTGCATTTTCTTTAATCATCAAAATCAAATCTGAGGTTAAAAATTGAAACTTTTGATTGATTTCAAAAGCCACCACATTTACTAAGATTCAAACCCAAAAAAGAAAAAGAAAAATAAGAAAGATGTCAATCTAAAAAAGCTTCAGAACTATACTTTTCTAATATCACCATACAGGGACAAATCCACATATCTAAGTACTAGATCACAAAATGCGAGGCCTTCTATATGCCACTAGAACTAGAAGATGGTGAAATGTCAAAAAGCTACACAACAAAAATCTTCCATCCGATAAGGAAGAACATAGAAGCAAAGCTCAGTAGTTGATACTTGATAATGGAATGCCTCCCATACCAAAGCAACAAAAATGGGAGGAAATTTTGGCCACCTACATAAAATTACAAGGTAAAATGGAAAGTATTTCAACTATGACAGACCTTCTACTAAGCCTTTTTTGACTTTGACTTCTTAAGCTTGGATATGAAAGCATCGTCATCATCGGAATCGCCATCGTCATCGCCCTTCTTCTGGCCCCTTTTCTGACCCTTCTTCTCAGGACCGGCACAGATCACAATTTTCTTTTCTTCTTTCTCCTCTACAAGTTCACACTTCTCTTTAGGCTTCCATATGAACAGTGATCTACATAAGTAACCCAAGTCAGTTTAAGAATCAAGAGACCAAGTTTGATTAAGTTAAATCCTTCTTAGCCCTCTTTTGATTTCAACCCTTACATCTAACAGCTAGATTGATAAAACCAGTCAAATTGAAATCAACATTCATAATACTCAATAATTCGCACTAATAAAGACCACACACAAACTAAACTAGCTTCCCAAAATTAATAAAATCAACTCTGAACTGAAGCAAGGAAAAACCATGCTTCATATATACTTGTTATAAGGTTCTTCTAGTGTCAACTTTGAAAAGATCTTTCAATTACAAAAGGATAAAAACCTTAGACTCATTATTTGAGTTTACAGGTCAAATCACATCAGCCAAGAGATTAATAGTCAGGTTTACTTGTCAGTGATAGCTGCAGATGTATTTTTTTTGGCCAAGATAATTGCAGACATGAACAAATCTTGCAATCTAGTATATTAACAAAATTAACAGTCAGGTGACCAAATGAAGTAAAAAAAATAGAAATTATAAGACAGTTCAAACCTAGAACTTCCAGATGCCAGGATATCATCACGTGGATGCAGCTTGTTTACTGGACTGATGGTTGTAATGTTTGGGTCCATGACCTCTGCTACCAATTGCCCTGTACTAGTATCTATGAAATCAATGGGATGCAGGGCAGCTCCGTTATAATTTTCACTTATATAACGACCAACAACAGCAAGGGACTCTGATGGATCCTGCAATCATTGGAAAAAAAAATTGCAACCCTCAAAATTGTTATGAAATATGGGCATATAATGGAAAAGAATGAAAAGAAGGAAAAAGAAAAAGAGGTAGGAAACCTTTGGATCCCATTCAGCTTTAAAAGGAGTCAAATACCGATTGAAATCATGACTATGTACAATTTCTCGGCTTGGAGAGTCCATATTCCCAAATACCGAATCCCATATACGAAGACGGTTGTCCAGTGATGTTGTAAGGACTTTAATCCCAGAAATAGGAGAGAAATATGCAGAGCTAACAACACGACCATGTGCAAGTTGATAAAGGGATGAACCAGTTTCCAACCGACGCATATCCCAAATACGAGCCTGCAAAAAATCACCACTACATACTTTAGGAACAAACAAGATTCAAGAACAAACATAAATATCATGAAGGTATGACTAGATATCTGCATCTGTTCCAGGAACAAGTAAAGTGGCAAAAATCCCAACATAATTTAATGTTAAATAAATGCATACCTATAGATGTTTGTATGCTAACGGCAATATGAAAATGAAAAAGTAAGTGAACTCACAAAATGATCATTTCCACAACTCAAGAGGAGATCAGGTTGCACTGGATTGCAATGAAGACCAACAACTTTGGTACCTTTCTTATGAATCAAAATGGCATTTCCAGTCTTGTGGTCAGTTCGAGTATCAACCCTATAAATGGAACCATATTTATAAATATTTCTTAGCTAACTAATTTCACATACAACATATAGCAAGAAGATTAGAGCCTTCAGCTTTCTTATTAAGAGGAAATCACAGCTCAAAAGGCTATTACATCATTCTTGCATATTTCAATCTTATTCCAAACAAAAGAAGTTTTTTTTTTCATATGTCATGTTCCTTAACAACTTCAGTAAATTATGGTCCTCAAACTCAAAGACAATGAACAGACTGACAAGGTTCTCTGCAACAATAGGCAAGCCCCTATCAAATGCTCAGATAATTATATCACATTTCATCCACAAACTGTTGATATGAAAACATAAAATAAAAAGAATCAAGAACAGGAAGATGAGTGGCCAACCAAATTTTATCCAAATATAAATTTTAATTCATGGTTAAACACAAACTATATAGAAAGAACGAACATGGCAGTGTCATTTGGAAAACTTAAATCTGTTACATGGCAACACCAACAAGCTGCCAACAGACAGGAAAGTTACCAACTAAGATTACAATGAAGTTTAACAAATGTTGTCATATAAAATTATGTGCCAAGAAACTGACAACATTTGAGTACTGGACACAATGTAAAAAAATTAGCTTGTATTTTCCAACAATGTTGTTCATGTTTGTAACTTTTATTTTGTGATACCAGCTTGTATCTTCACGCATCACATTGCATCAAACAACTATTTTGTCAGGATAAAGGAAGATATTAAAAAAGTTACTTACAGATGAAGAAAGCCAAAGTTATCAGCAACAAGTGCAAGACCTTTCTCCAAGTTAACATCCATGCCATAAAGCATCTTCCAACTGCTTGGACCCTAATCAAAACATATAAAAGTTTGTTTTTTCTTCTGTAGAAAGATAAGAGACACACTCATTGACAGACAAAAATCAGTGAATCTTCTTTCATACACTTCACTTATTTATCACCATATATTACCCTGAAGAAGAAGCAAATATCTCATCTTTGACCCATGTTACTTTTAGATGAAAGAAATCAATATGATCCTAAAACACACCAGCTAGAAATCTTTCCTTGAAGCTAAAAAAAAAAAAATGCTTAGTTGAGGTTATGATTAGATCTCCAGGCTTCACCAATCAATCAACATTTCAAAGATTAGGTAACAAACAAAGAAAAGGGCAAAGGAGAAATATGTCACCTGCCATCCTTCAGGGTTAAGGTCCATTAGTGAAGATGAAATTCCAGTCTCCAAGTCAGTATAACTAAAGGTTCCGTCTGAGGAAGAACAGTAGAACATACAAGCGTTTCTAGGATTGAACCTACAAAATTGCCAAACTGCAATTAACCTTCAAAATTAATATCATTTCAGAGATAGAAATAGGTACAAAGATGTCAGTCAACACATAATAAGACATTTATGCATTAACTAAAAAATCATGGTTGAAAAAAAACAACTTACCTCATGTTATTTACTATGCACGAATGTATATTCCCATATACCATCCTCTCATCTACTTTTTCAAAATTCCACACTCCAACTTGTCCTTTCTTTTACAATCAAACCAAAGAAAGATGAAATTAGGACTCATAAACATCAAACTTTATGGATAACAAAATGCAAAATATTATAAATGAATGAATAACCTTATCTCCAGATAAGAGGATGTTATTCTTTGTGGGGTGGAACTCCAAGCATGTTACCCTTCTACTATGATGTCTGATAACAGCACTTTGTACTTGGTCTGGGATCATGTATTTTGGTTTGATCTGTTGCAAAGAAAGAAAAAACAAGAGCTGCATTATAATATGTTCCATCTCTCTTGAAAGGAATAAAATATTCATGATTAAGGAACAAAGTGAAATCATAAATATTAAAGTTATAAAGCTCTATAAAGAAATTTAAAATTAAAACTAAAGCGCCTCAGTATATAAAAGAACAGGGAAGAAAACTAAATGAGTCATTGGTTCATCCCAACAATGTAAAATTTTGTCAATCCAGTGTTTTCTTTTTCCCCACTTCGTGCACGCATCCCCCCCCCCCCCCCCAAAAAGCGCAGGGTGACTGTAAACCAAAACCGTAGGATATGATCAAGTGGTGGTGACTGGAGACCAACCAACGATGCCATGCTTAAGATGAAACTGTAATGCTTATAAGGCTGAGAGGCTGTGCATTCTTGCAATGAAATACAACAATAATAAAATTGAAATTCAGTCATACAAAGAGAACCACAGCTACAGAAGGGATAAATGTATTACACTTAGAAAAATAAGTTTGCTTTAGTTCAGTCAGTTATTTCTTTGTAAACTTGTGGTAACTAGTTGAAGACATTGAGTTACTTGCTGCAATAACGCTGACTAGAATAAGGAATTGATTTTGCAAGCCAACATGCGCCTTTTTTAATAGCATGCACAAATGCAATTATGCAAATGCGGTGAACTACCATACACGCCATCCTTCAATAAGAAATTTTTTCGGATGGGTCTGAGGTGGTGATGGATTTTTGCTTTCTCAACATATCAAAGATATATTGCCTCGATGTCCAAAGCTAATAACCAAATACATTTATCACAGCAATGTTATTTAGGAAACCCAAAGAGCAGGACAAATTCCACCAGAGTGCTGCTTAGAACATAATTTGAGTTACTGCTATGTTTAAAGATGGAAAAATGGACCAACTGCATTACTACTGCATTGACCAAAAAGAAAATAATATTGTCTTCAAAACGAAAAAATAGTTTACTTATGCTTACCGGAGGAACGGATGGTCTTAGCTGGCGTTCAAACACATATTCAAAAGGTTTGCGTGTATTTCTGCGTGGAGCAGGAATAACTCCAAACTCAGTATTCACTCGATGAGGACAAGTCATCGTAGTGTGTCCTTCAATTAAGAAACACAGCAAGTAAAGATGTGAAGGGCAAAAATTACAATGAAATTGTAAAGCCTAAAGACACCTGCACAGTTGAAGTTACTTTTAAGCCAGAAAGACAACCTTAAGTACAATTTAACATGATAATACCTCCATTTCAAATATAATAAATTGTTACCTACACACGCTCATAGAGAAAAGTAGTTATTTAGGTAAAATTCCATTTTCTTTTCCAATTTTGCTGTTATTTAATGCATGGGGAATGAAGGGCATTTTAGGTAAAAAGATAAAATGCCATGTATTTCAAGGAAGAACGAACGTTTCCCCAAGAGAACAAGAATAAACTCAGGACGACGCATTTCATATTAAAATGAATAAAAGTAACAGCAAAGAAAGAAACTTTTTCAGTCACCAGGCATTTTACAAAGATAGCAAGGCTTCATTGGGCAATCGATATAAGTTGCGCCCTTGAATCCCGCTTCATGTCCAGGCTCCTTGCATACCTAAAACACCATTAACGATAAAACCCCCCCAAAGTTGAAAGCAACAACCTCAAAAGAATGATACCGGTAACAAATAATGACAGGGAAAGAAAGGAAAGCAAAGGAGAACACAAAACAAAAGGCAATTTTCTAGCCACCGAAGCAAGACACACTAACTTTGCAAACTTTCTTGAGACTGATAGTGATAGGTGCTTTCCCTTTCTTCTTTGCATCCAAAACCACTTCAATTTTCGCAGGGTCCCCTTTCTCCGCAACCCCATTTTCTTTTTCTTTTTCGTCTTCGAATGTTTCAGAATCTTCCTCTTCTTCTGCTTCTTCGTCAGAGGTACTCTGTTCAGAGTCAGAGTCCGTCTCAATGATTACTTTCGGGAATGCCATTTTTCGGGTAATCGGAGCCATTTGCTAGAACGAAAACAGAAGGTGATCGCAAATCCAAAACACAGAAATGGAGTCAACTGGAAGTGAAAAAGAAAAAAGCGAGAAATTTGGTGCGAAATTGATCGACACAACCGACTCGACGTCCTCCCTGGGCAACGGAGGGACAGCAGATGGCGAGATTACAAAAAAACCCACAGTGCTTTATTGTTTGCCATTCTGTTCCCTTGATAGCCGTAGGCTATGAATTGGTTGAATTCTTACAAGGTACCAAAACGGGGAATCTCAAGTCTCAGTTAATATTTTATAGGAAAAATTAATTAAAATTTGGTCCCTATCATACTTTTGTAACTCACAACTAAATTTTATTATTATGTTTAAAAATATGAAATTTTTAATTAAATTTTATTTTTTAATAAAGTAATTAATTATTTTTAAATTAATATTATCTTTCTACATTTATATTTATTTAATATAGGGTTTCACTTCAAAATAGGTATAAAATACTTTATTTATTATAGGTATTTTTTGAAAAAGGCACATTAATTATATTTTAAAATATTGAAAATATTTCATATTTTTTAACAAAAGGAATAACTCATTGCATTGTTGTTAAACTTTTAAGTTAACTTTATAAGATTATTATTTTTTTATTTTTAACTTACAAAATCTTATTAACTTACTCATAAATTAAAATTAAACAACTTAATTATACTTGCGAGTTGACTCTTTGATTTTATCATTTTTACGTCTATAGCTTATAAAATCGTGTCAATCTACTCATAAACTCATTAAATAAAATAGGTATATATTGTATAAAACTTGATTTATAAAAGCGGTAGGATCTATTTCAAGGAAAAATAAAACTAAAAAAAACAAATATTAATAAAAAAAGAAAACAAAACATACCAAAAATAAGTTACCCTATTTTCAAATTTCTATGTTAAAAATAATAATATATAAATATAGATAGATCAAATTTTAATGATTTATATTTGAAATATATTTAAATTAAATTATAATCATATTTTATATTTTAATTATTTAATCATGTACTTTTAAAGGCTACTTATTAATAAAGGTAAACTTTTATACGTTTACGATCTAAATTTATATTTTGAGTTTATATTTCTATCATAAGTTTACTTAAACTCATGAATTTAACAACATTAATTTTGTGTCTATAATTATAATTTTAACTTGTTGTAATTTAGTTTTTAAATTTTAACTTGATTAATTTAGCCCTTATAATTTTAATCATTTAAATGTTAGTCATATATATTTGAAAATAATATTATAAGGATTAAAGTTATTTGTTTTAAAGACTAATGTTTTAAATAGCTAAAATTATAATAATTGATGAATTAAAATTTAAATATTGAATTATAACAAAATTAAATAATAAAAAATGAGTTGCATCCAATTAAAATTTAGAAACTGAGTTTCAATCAAAAGTAAAAACTTTGCAAATCAAATGATCTAAGTTTTCATATTTTAAAGCTCTCGTTCAGTTTTGCTGTTTTCTTTTTTTCCAAAACTTTTTTATAAATTAATTTTATAAAAATATTTTTTAAATTAAAAGAACATGAAAATTTGTTGAATTATTTTACAGTTTAACAAAAGACCAATAATACTGGTTAACAGTGATTAATAATGATAGTCCATAATAGTAGTTAGTCATACCTAAAAGTAATTTACAATAATTAAATTTAATATGTTTTGAAAATTAAAAATTAAAAATGAAAATAGTTCTAAGTTGTTTTCCATTTCTTAAAACAAAAAGTTAAAACATGTTTTTTTTTTGTGGAAACATTTAAATCTAAAGCATTTAATTAAACGAATTTTTATTTTTTGTTTTTAAAAATAAAAAATTATGAAAAACAAATCCTGTATTTAATTTTAATATTAATTTTTTATTTTTGATATATCTTAATATATATGTGTGCGGTGAAAATGAACCTTTGATTTTCTGAAATGAAATGTTTTGTGAAGTTAAATGCCTGTTTGATTTAGCAGTGAAAGCTTATATAATTTTGTTTAAGTCCATATAAATGATTATGAAGCTCATTTGCATTGTTTTTATAATTTTTTTAAAAAAATTAGATCAATCATAATTTTGATTCTTTGCTACATATTGAGTACTGAAAGCTATCAGAAGATGCTTTTGCATTCAAAAAATTATGATTAGGTTTTGAAAAAATTAATCATTTGATCCTTATAATTTTAACTCAGTTGTAACTCAATTCCTTAATTCTAACTAGTAACTCGTTATAAATCAGTTCATAAAGTTTTAACTTGATTATAAATTAATTTCCGAACCTTGCTTTTTATAATTTAATTCTTGAAGTTTTAACATTTTAAATATTAATCCTTGTATTGAAAAATTTAATTATAAAGATTAGAAATATTTTAAACTTTTAATATTTATAATATTTATACAGATTAAAGGGGTTTAATAATTTAAAATATTAGTAATAAATTTTAAAATATTTTTAATCTTTATAATTTTATTTTTAAAAATATAAGGACCAATATTTAAGAGGTTAAAACTTTAAGGACTAAATTGTAAGAGAAAAAATTTAGGAATTGATTGACAACTGAATTAAAACTTTAAAAACTGAGTTATAATGAGTCAAAATTCAAGAATTGAATTACAACTAAATCAAAACTATAAGGAGTAAGAGATTAATTTTTCCTTAGGTTTTTATTAACTTATAATTGGTAATAATAATTTTAGAAAATTTAAAAACTTTATGAAAATCATAATTTTTTTTTGTAATTATATATCCAAATGTGATTTTGATGAATAAAATTCAAACAAACTTTCTCAATTCTCATAATCACTTTGTTAAAAAAAAAAGTATTCAAACAAAAATTATGATTTATCTACGTCACTTTTAATTAATGTCACTTTTAAAAATCATAATTATCTATAATCTTGTTTGTTTAAGTTCAACTCTAAGCCAAACGGGCACAAGGATCAAAAGTGCAAATCTTGTTTATATTTTTATTACTTTTATTTCTATATATCCGTTATACCTCTTTACTCTATTTTTCGGACCATTTTCATAAGAGACGTGGCTTGTTCTGTGCCGGAAATGGAAATTAAATGACCATGTTGACACGTGTTTTGAGTGAACTTCATTGAAATGTCTGTATTGTAGATCTTGATATTTTATTATAAGTTTTCATACTTTTTTTTAATATTTTAAATTGTTATATTTTTATTTTTTAATTTTTTAAATTTTTAAACAAAAAAATATAAAAACCTTATAAGAACTTAGAATATTAAAAAATAAAAATATAAAAATTAAAATTTAAAATATTAAAAAAATATGAGAATATGTAAAAAATTTGAATAAAAATGCAGGCACTTAAAATTATATTTTTTTAATAATTGAATTCAACGCATTTTCATGTCTCATTAAATTAAACTAATTATCTCTCTTTCATTCTCTGCGGGCCTTTTTACAAGCAACGTGGCTTGTTCTGTGTTGGAAACAGATATGGCAATGCTGTCAACTAGGGCTGCACAAAAGTCTCGTGGTCTCATTCGGTCCGATCCGACCCATAAAAATTTGATCCTGTTCAGTCCCGTAAAATGCTGGTCCTATAGGATCAAAAAGACTAAAAAGACAGGACTGATTTTTCGGGTAAGACGAGATTAGAGACCAAACATCTGGACTAAGTGGTCCGGTTTGGTCCTATATAATTATTTTAATATAATTAAAATTAATTTATAAATTATTAATTAATAAGCCTTAGAAAAAAAGTCTTAATCCTGCCTTACACTTTGCACTCTGATAAAAAAAAAAAAACCTCAACACTGTTACTCAACAGCACTTAGCGTCTCAACCACTCACTCAACTTTGCTCTCATTCTCAATTTCTTCAGTGTGCCAAAGCCCTAGCCCCTGCCTTGCACTTTGCACTCTGATCTTGATCTGTTCGAACTTTGAAGGAACATGTCTGTGGGCTGATTTTTATTACTTCTGTTCTTGCTGATTTTTTTCCTCTGGTCTATTTTTGGTCTTTTCTCTGATTTTTTATTGAAGTTATGTATTTAAATCATTTGGAGTTTGGACTGTAACTAAAATATTATTTTCTTGGTGTTAGAAATTATTATGAATTTATTATGATTATAAGTGTTTTTATTATCTTAATTGAGTTTGTTAAATTGAAATAGATTATTGGTCATCATAGAGAAAAAAAAGGAAAAAAAAAGTCAAGTGAGTATTGAACTAACAGGACCAGTCTTCCAGTCCTATGGACTAAGTCCAGTCTTGTTAATTTTCAGGTTTTCACAGGACCAGACCGGACTATGAGTTACCTAACCCAGTCCTTTTCATGAAAAGGACTAGACTCCGGGTTAGGTTAAAGTCCAGTCCCGTCCAGTCTTTTGTGCAGCCCTACTGCCAACATGCCTGCTTTATGGGTGAACCCATTATGTAGGACATGATATACACATTTTTTGCATTGTATAATATAATTATATTATATAATGTGATCCCTATGCATTTTATCAATTATCGAATTATATAATTGAGTTGTTATAAATTAGAGGGAAAATCACTATTATTGAGTTCCAAGGATTCTAATTGCCTAAAAGTTCTACAAAATGGAGAAATATCTCTATTGTCTCGGTAGATTTTGGTGTAAATATTTTTTATTATCTAATTATTATATTGCCCATGACTTGAAAAAGAAAAAGAAGAAGAAGAAGAATGAGTTATCATTACCTGCAGCTTTGTCAATATTAAATAAATTATACCCTCTTTATTTCTAAGGAGAATTTTAGTTCAGTACCTTAATAGAGATTTAATTTTAAGTGAGTCTAAAATAATTTTAAAATTTCACTTTAGTTTATGTGAGAAAAGTTAAAAGAATTTTATCAGTAAAAAAACCAAAATATTCTTTACTTATTATGAAAAATCATTAGTTATTAATTTTCTTACTCCACTTGTTAATTGATGAATATGAGCTATAAATTACTGATAGGTCTTATAATTTACAAACATTAATTATAAATTACTAACAGGTCTTGTAATTTATAATTGATATTAATAAATTAACAAGTAAAGTTAATAATTTAACCACTAATATTACTAATTGTTTGTAAACGGATGTAATTTACAAGTGATATTAGTAAATTAAAAAGTATAGCAAAAAATTAATAATTAGTAATTCTGCATAACAAGTAAAAGGTATTTTAGTCT